GCTACCTGTCTTAGTCTTTATTTTTATTGTTTTATATTGTGATGAGAGTGATAACACACGTTATAGAAGCTATTGTGCACAGATATAGATACAGGTGTGCGTTGGGCAAAAAAGTTTGAAAATCACTGGTCTAGACTTTTTAATGTTTCTACATCCTCACACTATTATTAATTTAAGCAGGGATTTTAATACAAAGTGGTAACCACTGCATATGAATGCATGAATGGCTCAGACTGGATTTGAAATAAAATGTAATAAACTGGAGCTTCAGCAAAACAACATGACCCCCATCCATTTAAAATCAACATTAGTTCTGAGCTCATTATGAAAGTGACGCAAAAGTAGTAAGTAACCTAACCTATTACTTTCAAATGAAGGCGAATACTGATACTAATAATACTAATATATTACATTTTGAGAGTAACTTGCCCAACACTGCTGATGATGGTTTTGTAGCTGCAACACATTTGTTTCTATTCATTTTGCCCACATTAAATCAGTAAATGTATGTGTGACTGCTAATGTTGTGTTGCTGTGAGGATTGTGTCTCCAAACCAGGTATTTTAAGCCAAAACACGATCTTTTCCTAACCATAACTAAGTGGGTTTTGTGTCTAAATCTAATCCCAGGTTAAACTCAGAGCTGTTGAAACGTAAGGTACAAATGTAAGGTATCTGTGGTTTGCAGGAACATACGATGCCAACATTTTTTTTCCTGCCGATGGGGTTGATTTCTCACACAATATCGCCTCCTGTCCTGCATGATGTGAAAACATTGGCAGGATTGTGTGTCGCGTCACCTGCATTCATGAGACAAACAAAATGGGGACTCATTCATACACAAACTGCTCTGTAGTTCTATCACTGACCTTATGTTTTCAACACTTCAGATGAAACAAGGCACAGAGACAAATGCAGGATTACATTTAGTGAATTCTGAATCCTCCCAGTCCCAGCAGAATGTTACAATGACCCAATCGGGCCATGATGCTGTTGATCCACAGGATCAATAACCCTGGTCCTTATAGACGGAATGAGCTGTGTGTTATTATGATGATCCAATCAGCATGTTTGGCTGTTCTACTAAATTCTGTTTGAGGCTGGAGAGACTTCACTGAATACCAGCCTCTGTCATTTTGTAAATAATTCACTTTTCCAGTAGTCGACCTTTGACCCGTCTGAAGTCAGATCAGTGAGATAAAGTTTCTTTGACTAAACTTTTCTTGTTATTCTTTCACATACCTGACACCAATTCCAAAAATAAGCACCTTGTATCTTTTTTCTCAGTAAATCTAAATTCTACATGTTTATAATCCACTGTAACTCCACCCTAAATGTAACTATGAGACTAATAAGAGACTTTTAGGCTGATAAATCAAAGTAACACTAAAACAAATTTTTTAGCCTGAAAGATGAAATGAAAATATTTCCATGAGTCCTCCGCCCAGCTGTGGTGTAACATCTGTGTTACACAACATACAGCAGTTTATGACTCAGGGTTAAAGCACAATTCCCACAGTTTTGGACTCTGTGATGTCCAACAAGATTATTTCCTTAAATACTGGATTTATCCTGGTATATAAACAAGCCAGGGTCAGTCCTTCTATTGAAGGTGATTTAGTTAAAATATATCTTTACATAGAAAAAAAACTGCAATTCAGCAGGAAACAGCGTCCAAACAAATGTTTGTAACATAATGTGGAGGGAGGGTGTTGGCCTGCAGGAGCTCAGAGGTCACAGTGAAACAGGAAGAGGAAGTTCTTCCACCTGTTTCCTCTTGAGCAACTTCCAGTTGTTGAGAGATTCACTGAACCTGATGAGGTCTGGAGTTTTCCATCAAAGTTTAGACCAGGGATACCCAACTTACTCTACCTGGAGGCCACTTTTGAAAAATGACACGAGGCAAGGGGCCGGACGCAGCAGCCCTGCACAGGTCAGGTGTATGCAGGGGTGTTTTTAGGATTTGAGGACATTGGGGGTTTAAAGCTACTCTTACCTTTCTTGGATTTCACACAGCACTTTGAACATCCACAACTCCCGCCTCCCTCCAAAGTCCCACCCCCCTCCTCCTGCAACTCCACCTCCCTCCAAAGGCCTACTCCCCCCTCCTCCATTACATCCTCATTATGTCTATGATAGACGTAGGCGTTGGCAAGGTAACGTTACATACACGGAAGAGGAGAGCGAGTGTAACGTTACAACCAAGACAGTCGAACGCAACCCTGGAGTTTTAAAACTCAACCGGAGTCAGTGATGACTGATGAGTTTTATAATAAGGTTACAGTGCTAACGTTAGATAGTAGCGTTAACGTTACTAGTAAGTGGAAACGCACAAGGAAGATAGTGTTAATGTTTCAGCGGCTATGCTACAGAAGGCTAACATTAGCCATTAGCAACTGGATGCTGTGTTGTCATAACTTTATATGTTATATTAGAAGAAAACTAAACATAACCTTACCTGTCCTGCACAGTCAAACACAACCCCGGGAGATGTTAGGCGAGCGGTTACGTCAGTCAGAGGCCTCCACGTGGGGAAGACAAACAGGAAGCTCAGTCGCAATGCAATGATTGGTCGGAGTTTCCTTAGAACCATATGAGAATGGTACAATTACGAGTTTTTACCTCTGGTGGAATCTGTGTTTATAGCATCAAATAACAAATTAAAGCCAAGCTAATCGGAGAAAATGAACACTTGAACATACATCAGCGTGATAAGAATTACCTAAAATGACACTACAAATTTTATTTGAAGTGTACTTTGTTTTAGTTTTTAGTGTCCCATCTAGATTTCAGCAGTGCATCGTTGGCGACAGCGACAGCATCCACCATAGAGCCACCACAGCACTCGGTAAGTTTGTTTTCTAACTTGCGTCACATATGTTCCTTATGATAGCTATATGAAACTAGCTAGTGTTAGCCCAGTAGAGATTTGGTGGAAGCCTGAAGAGACATTTACAAAATATTAGCGACATTTTCTTTTGTGTGTTGTAATGTTGTGATGTCCAGTGGTCAAAATTTAAACACAAATGCGCTATGCGTGAAGTACATTGATGCGAGTAGCAAATCTCTACTGGGCTAACATTAGCTAGTTTCATATAGCTTACGTGCTAACATAAGGAATATGGTACGTGAGTTAGAAAACAAACTTACCGAGTGCTGTGATGGCTCTATGGTGGATACTGTCACTGTCGCTGTTGCCAACGATGCACTGCTGAAATTGAATTGTGACAAAAACGGCCTTGTCAGCTAAATTGCCGGACATGTTGGCATGTTGCCAAGCAAGGATGAGACATTAAAAACTCAAAGTACACGTCAAATAAAATTTCTCCAAACATGGTTTCTGTCATTTTAGGTAGTTCTTATCACGCTGATGTATGTTCAAGTGTTCATTTTCTCCGATTAGTTTGGTCTTAATTCGTTATTTGATGCTATAATAACAGTCTGACCACCCAGGCTTTTATTTTTGGTACTTCTGGTGACCGGCAGTGTGCATTTGCATATTAGCTAAATATTTAGTTTCACCAAGCACATTTAGATTTAACATTTAATATTTAGATTTAACATTTAACATTTAGGTCTCTAGTTTCCCGGCGCAGCGCAGGGTGGCGCAGGGTGGCGAACCCCGCGCAGAGCTAGTTTCGAGCAGCGCAACCCGAGGCACACTCAGTTTGGTAGTTTGGCAGACTGAGGTGCGCTGAGATGGGTGTGGCGGCGCAGCAGGGGGAGGTGTCGACAGATCCAGCTTGGTGCAGTGACAGTTTCGTGCCAAAAGGCTTCGCCGAAGGTGCGCTAAAAGCTCACCAACTGAAACCACGTCTACTGTCAGCGCAGGGCTTAGCGCAGCCGGTGTAGGCCGAAGTTTGGCTGACCGGCGGACAGTGCGCACACGTCACCAAAACCTCACAGGCAGGTTTCCAGAATGTCAGGCACATTAACGATGCAATAAATACCCAAAAACCACTATTCAATGCAACTATCTGCAATCAGCACATAAATGTATCTCTATATCGACTGTCCCATCACATCTGATGTCAGATCAAAGGGGAATGGCACCGTTTGGCACGCGTAATGGAAACCCAACCTGATTTGATTAACACAGCTGCAAACTAATAAGTTCACATCCCTCTCAGCCAACCACCAACAGCCACAGCATCAGATAGGGAGTATATATTCAGCATCTGTCATCTTAAAAAAATAAAAAGAAAAGAAACAGTGAAACTGTGAGAGAGAAAGAGAGAGTGCGTGCGCACGAGAGAAACGCAACATTGATTTACAATTGTGGTGACCTCCTCCCAGGCTACCTTTGCATCATCAGCCCGTGGAGGTCTGCTCGCAGTTGCGTATATTCGGACACTGCGAGCTTGGACCTCCTGGACCAAAACATCAGTTTCCTCCTGGGAGAAGTTTGGCCGTCTGACGCTGCTGCTCTCTTCTGCCATGGCGAATTGAGTAAACTCTCATTACGCATTTAAGGGCGAGGAGAGGGGCTCATTTGATTGGTGTGATGTGTGTAAAACCCACTCCACGCCTTCTCTCCTCCCTCTTTCCGACTTGTGCCGGTAGGAAGGACGGAGGTGGGATAGAGGAGTAGCTGTGCCAGGGCGCACAGTGTGCCAAACTTACAAAATCCGCCTGGCCACACCCAGTTGGCGAAGCGCAGGTGTGCTGCACCTCCACCGCGCCTGGTCTGCGAAACTAGAGCCATTAGATTTAGATTTAACATTTAGGTTTAACATTTAATATTTAGATTTAAATGTGACATTATATTTAACATATTTCAAATATTGCTGTAAGCATGGTAAAAAGTGACTTTAAAAAATTCACACCACTTTTTTAAACATTGTTTGAAGCTAAATGTGGCAAAATGTTGCTGTTAATTTCAGTGAGTCACTTTACAAATGGCACCCCATAGTTTGGAGACACAGTTTGAGGACCTCTGATCTCAACCTTGTTTATGAGGACATTTAGGTTAAGATTAGGTAAGTTGATTGAGTGTCTTACCGGCGGTGGTTTAGCCACCACACAGCAGCCCATCTTGTGCCAGAAGTCGCTCATGCCGATGCTCCGCTTATCCAGCGGCTGACTGCCGCTCTCTGCTGCCGCCCTGCAGACCTGGGGTGGAGCTGCAGCCACTGGATAATCCTGGGGCATTCAGACAAAAACTGCACCAGCAGCAGTGACACACAGAGGCCCAAAGACCCAAAGTATACCCCACTTCAGACTGAAAACTGTCTGGACTCCAGGAGGGTTCAGACTGAGGAAAACACCAAATAAAAACTGAATATCCACGAGTCCAAAGAGGAAGGTATTAAATTATTTCTTTTCGATTAGGTAATTCCCACAAATCCGCTGATGTCCACTGATGAAAAATGATAAGCAAGAAGAATCCAAAAGTTTTAACATCCGACATGTGACAACAGCTTCAGGTTTGATCTGTGGAGACAGAGAAGAAACAAGTTACAGACACATTTTTACATTTTCTACCTGATTGTCTTACTTTAATTTTGTTTTCACATTTGATTTCAACTTTATATGTTTTTTATTTCATTATATTTCATTTCATGGAGTATTTTGGTGATTAGACTTTACATTCTGGTCTTTTCTGTGCTCTGTACTATCACACATATGCCCACATGGAGGTTAATAAATTACCTGTCTGTCTGTCTGTCTGTCTGTCTGCAGAGACATAATGAAATCATTTGTCTGTGTCAGGATGGATGAAGTTCACAGATGATTTATTGTCTTGAGAAATCTGCTGCTGGTTGTGAAACTTCATCTTTTGCAATCAGGCTGTTTTGTTTTTGATGAACATTTAAATCTGTCAAAGATTCATTTGATCTTCATGCTTGTTTTCTACCTGAACATCTCAAACATCTAATGCACAAACCACCTCATGTCCAGCAAACAATCCAAAGCTGTGACTGGTTTAATGAGTGACGTGAATTTACAGTATGAAGATCTACACAGAACATTTTACACATGGTGAGGAGGAGAACTCTTTGTTAATGAGAAACTGTACTCAATCTACTGTTTTATATGTGCAGTCATGAATTATTCAAGTTGAAAATCTTTCTGATGCACATTGTATAATTTGTTGAGAACAACATAATGTAATAACAGTCAATGGAAACCAAAAGGGCTGGATTCAAGATCACACCTAAAATCTAAGTAAGACACTGAAATCACAGGCTGTTCCAGCTTGTGTAAATTTTATCATGGCAACTCATAATGTGACTCACTAGTGTGTACAGCCCCCACATGTCTGTATGCACCAACATCGTCTGGGCATGCTTCTGATGGGCATCAGTGAGCTCCTGGACAGTCCGTGGCGGTACTTGGAGGCATTGGATGCACTGATACATAACATCTCATTGATGCTCAGTTGGATTGAGGTCAGGGGAATGAGAAGGCCAGTCAATGGCATCAATGCCTTCATTATCCAGAAACTGCTTACACACTCTGGCCATATGAAGCCAGGCATTGTCCTGCACCAGGAGGAACCAAGGGCCCACTGCACCAGTAGGAACCCAGGGTCCACTGCACCAGTAGGAACCAAGGGCCCACTGCACCAATAGGAACCCAGGGTCCACTGCACCAGTAGGAACCCAGGGTCCACTGCACCAGTAGGAACCCAGGGCCCACTGCTCCAGCGTAAGGTCTGACAATCGCTCTGAGGATTTCATCCCAGTACCTAACAGCAGTCAGGGTACCATTGACTATGACATTTAGGTCTGTGTGACCCTCCAAGTATATGCCTCCCCAGACCACCACAGACCCACCACCAAACCGGTCATGCTGGAGGATGTTACAGGCAGTATAATGTTCACCACGTCATCTCCAGACTCTTTCATGCCTGTCACATGTGTTCAGTGTGAACCTGCTCTCATCTGTGAAGACAACAGGGTGCCAGTGGCGGACCTGCCAATTCTGGTGTTCTCTGGCGAATGTCAATCAAGCTGCACGGTGCTGGGCTGTGAGCACAGGTCCCACTAGAGGACGACGGGCCCCCTCATGCCACCCTCATGGAGTCTGTTTCTCACAGTTTGGTCAGAGACAGGCACACATTAGCCTGCTGGAGGTCATTTTGTAGGGCTCTGACAGTGCTCCTCCTGTTCCTCCTCACACAAATGTGCAGATAACGGTCCTGCTGCTGGGTTGATGCCCTTCTATGGCCCTGTCCAGCTCTCCTCATGTAACAGCCGGTCTCCTGGTATCTCGCCCCATGCTCTTGAGACTGTGCTGGGAGACACAGCAAATCCTCTGGTCCTGGATGAGCTGGACTACCTGTGCAACCTGATTGGGCTGCAGGTACTGCCTCATGCTATCAGTAGTGACAAGGACACTAGCAGAACACCAAACTAGAGAAGAATCAGTCAGGAAGGAGAAGGAGAAAGCAACTGTCTGTGGCCACCACATGTAAAACCTTTTTAGAGGTTATCTTGCTTTTGCCTCTCCATTGCACCTGTTGTCACTTTGATTTGCACCAAATCAGCCGAAACTGATCCACAATCTTTTGTGCTTCCTAAATGGACAGATTGATATCCCCAAAGTTTAACTGAGTTGGTGTTAAGGCCTCTACACATGATCAGCTGTAAAACCGCTTTGCACTGGTTGTCCCATTGTTTGTCTATGGAGAGGGCGGCAACGCCTGACAAAGCGGCATCACTACCCTTGGTGTCGTGCACCGCTTGGATTTTCCGCCTGAGCGCTGCGCTCAGAATTGAAATTATTTGAACTTTGACCACGCCACTGCACCGCACCTGGCGGTGAGCGAAGCACATTGTTCTTATCATGTGAAGGCCGCTTTTGACTTTGACCGTTAAGTGTTGCCTTAATTTTTTGAGCAGTGTTGTTACTATGGCAAACCTTGACAAACTGCAACTTTCTTGACTTGCTGAATTTTCTTTTAATTTGACAAACATCACATGTAATTAATGGCACAATTCAAATAGTGGGTTTTTTTAAGGTTAATGTGGTTGTTATTATTAAGTGATTCAGTTATTTTTTAAAAATGTAATTGATTACATTACAAAAACAAAAAACTAAAATTTAAAAAAACATCCTCAAACTCCACAGTCTCTCTTTGAGCTGCATGGGAACCAAACCTCTGTGCGACGTCAACACAGTGAACACATTAAGCATGACTAAACACTGGGTGTGGTCCAAACAAACACACACAAACAGGCACGCACATACGCATGCACGCACGCACACACACACACACACACACACACACACACACACACACACTGAGGCTTGTAAAGTTTAAATTAGTGTTTCTGGAAGTTTTGTTCTCGTTTTGTTAGACGAAACAAACTGAACAGGCTGAAAACAACAACAAAGCTCTGTGTACCTGACACACACACACACGCACAATAAAACTCAGTCAAAAGTTCCTCAGAGAACAAACACTGGTTTCTCTCCTGTCTCCTCATTACAGATATTTTTATGGCTTCTCACCTCTGAAGTAAAACACTGGAGAGATTTTCAGTCTTTTAAATATACTAAAGATTAAATGTCACTAATGATCAGTTAGCTCAGTTCAACTAAATTGAGAAATGTAAATAATTTGCACAAATTTACTACGATTCCGGTGGAATAACTTGAATTTCCCGTGAATTTGAAACGTGGCTGTGCGACCAGTCTTTAAATAATTACTTCATGTTTTTCTCTCCAAACCTCTTCTGGCTGCCACATTCTTTATCAAACAGGGAAAGTCAAGATCCGACTCGAGCATCTGATAACAGGCGTCCGCAGAGTGTTTCCTGATTACATAAAGAGGTTAAACTTCTCTCCTGTGCTCCTATTTTCAGTGTGCGGGAGAAAAACCTCTGGAGTTTGTCCAACACATTTCAGAAGATAATAAGGAAAGAATGTGAGAAGCAGCGTGTAGCTTCATGCTTTACATCCAACTCAGATCAGCACAGAGGAATGTAAACCTCTACAGCCGCAGGGGTTAAAATTCAGACGTTTGTTTCACCTTGACAACAAATGTGTTGCTCGTTATTCTGAATTAAACTGTTTCCTTACATTTTCACTGGTTGAGAGAAAATAATTAAGTACAAATTCAAGGTACTTAAATAGTTACATTTTATTGCTACTTTAACTTTGCAGATTCAGAAATTGTGCTGCAGTACCATACTACATTTACTTATACTACCATCTCACTCATCAACTGTTAACCTTCCTCAAACTTTATTTTCCCTCTGAGCCGCTTGACAAACTGAAACTTTAAGTTCCCAAATTCAAACTGACAGCAGGGCGGACCTTACCATCTGCAGACCGATGGGGGGGGGGGGGGGGGNGTGCGTGTGTGTGTGTGTTTCCTTCGTCTCCACACAGTTTTCCCGTTCTTCCTCCTCACACTGACATCATGGGACAAATATTCTCACACACACACACAGAGTCTAAATTGAGGCAGGAAGTTTAAGTTCCTGCTACAGTCCTGTTAGTGCCACCTAAACATGTTCATTATACACACAGCTATACTGAACCAACCCAGTCTTCAGAATAAATGTTGGCATCATACGTGTCTGCAAACCACAGATATGTCACATTTGAACATTATTATGTGGTAGATATTTCAACATATCGTAACATTTCAACAGTGCTGTGGTTAAGTTGTTGTTTAAGCACAAAAACCATTTGGTTATGGTGGAGAAAAGATCATGTCTTGGCATAAATTACCCTGTTCTGGGGGGCACAATCCCGGCTGGAAAATAGCAACAGGTCCTTGAAAACTAAAAAGACCAGCCCATTCTCACTGCCAATTTAGGCATCTCATTGTGAGACACCAACACACAGAGGCAACCTTAGCAGCAGTATGGTTCACACCACATGGTGGCAGTTTGTGATGCTGTAGGCAACAACTCAACTCATCAAATACCACCTCTGTGCACAGAGGCAGCCTTTGCAGTGGTATGAGACACACTGGGCAACTGTGACAGTGATGCTGGTGGCAACTACTAGTCCATAAAGGGTGGGTGGAAGTGGAGGTTGATGGGTCAAAAAAACTCTGGACTTTCACCTGTATAGAGCAACGTGTGTCTGTCCAGAGTAGAGAAGGTTGCGCGAACACCGGAGCAGCATATGACCAGGGAAGAGACTGTAGAGTAGGCGCGCCGATTTAGAGGACACAGGAGAGTTGCTCCTGATACCAGGTGGAGAGTGACGCGACTTTGCCCAACAGAGGGCAGCACAGGCTTACAGCTCTGCAAATATCCTCCACAGGCTTCAGCGTGCAGTGACTGTCTCATCCATGAATGTCTAAAATTGACGCAGGAGGGAACCTAGAGCATCATATTTGAGCCCAGTCGCACTCTGAAGTCGTCAAAATCTGGCGCTTGGGCAGTGACTTGAGGCATCAGAAACCAACGAAAAAAGGCGTCCTTTAACATCTGCATGATACACGGCCGGTTGCTGTTCAAGTTTAA